CATTTTAAGAGAATTCTACCTTTTATGAGCTTGTTAATTAGAATGATTTGTCAGTATATAGCACTAAAGAGAAAGATGTAATAGAAAAATAAGCTAAACTTTTTGTTTAAATAGTGATACTACAGCTGTTTGCAATTCTAATGAAACGGATCTTTCAACATTCCCTAATGTCAGACAGGTAACCTCCTGTATTGAGCCAGCTGTCAGTGAGTATCCAATTTATTTGTGCAACGAACTGACTGGTCGCAGGCTGACTACGAGCTGACATCAGTCAGAGAATATCATAAGTGAATACTTATGATTAGCAGGATCCATAAAGTCAGGCAGAAGGGCAGTTACTATCCAATGACACTAGCCGGTGGTAGCACTATTTATCGCGAACTGTCAGAAGTTGGAATTCATAAATCATCGGACCGAGCCCCCGTGTTTAATTGGTATGCGAGGTCATCTTGTGACCAGAAGGTGCTGGGTTCGAAACCCAGGAGACGAGTTCCAAAGCAGGATGAAAGGGATGACCAGTAATTCCTGATTTTCAGTGGATCTGTAACTGATGTCTGCTCCTCACCAGTCTTATAACCAGTCGACTCCATGCAAGTTAACGCCTGAAAAAAAGATAATATAACTGGTAGGTGGGTCTCAAAGCCGTGCTGGTAAATCTCAGGGTTAGAAAATAAGTAGTCTCTGGTTTCACCTAGAATTATCTCTCATTCAATTTAAAGTGGTTATCATACGAAAAGTTGGATTAAAAACTTGAAATAGATATCTCAATTCGAGTTGTGTTTATCTAAGTTATTTTTACTGTGAATCAGTAGCAAAGTCTGCCAATCCACGAGTATACTAGATAGTTTCGCAAAATAACTTTTTATCACTTCTGATTTTCTTTTTGCATATATACCCATTCTATTAAGTAAATGGTTACATTGTATGTTACTATCCTGGATATGCAGAACAACTTATTCATTGTGATGCAGTATCATGGAATATTCAAATATTTAAGTACGTTAATTCGTCTGTTTTCATATAGGATGCACCATATTCCAAAGAAGAGTACCTTTTTCAAATTTCATATTTTTGCAATGTATCTTAATAAGTTTTTGAACATATACGCGTCCAATAAATTCACTTCCACCCAATAAGCAGGTGTTGATTGTTTTGCATCACATTTAGGAATAAATATTACTCATATGAATATCAGTTGTTTAATTAGACTGTTTATTAGATATTATGTAAGTGATTTTAATTTGAACTGATTTCAACAAACAAACTATATATTTCACTGTTATTAAAGTCTTGAAGAAACTATATCTCGTTCTTGCATTTCAGAAGCGTTCAGTGGAGGTTACGTTGTCTTCTAAAGATACTTGTAATCTGCTAAACTGCTGAAAAGTAATAGACAGCAACATAAGTATTGACTATAAGGAAACTCCAGTTTATTGACTTTTTATAATGATAAGCAATTGCGAAATACAAATTTGTAGCCATCCTTTACTTGAACCGTGTTCAACATTTATTTTTAAATAATATACTGAAAACATGTACTGAGAATTCTCCATCCCTTTCAAAAGTTGTTTTTTCTCAGGGATACAAACAAAGTGTTATTTAAAAGAGACGATTGTACTTAATTTCGGCTTATAAAGCTAATAGAGATGTAATAGCTGGTACGAGATGATTTCAAAGAAGAAATAAATTCCAAAATACTAAAGCTTGGGTAGGATCAGCTCACATATTGGTTGAAAATGTAGGCAGCTCTGACTTAATTTTTAATTTAAAAATTGTCATAAACAAGATTATTACAGTCTTCATGGAAATAAATTGTTATCATTTGCTGCAATATTTTGTGATGTAAAAATAAATTTTAATTCTGCTAGAATATGTTGAAACAGTCATCATCGTATTATGCAAAATTGTGCATTTTATTTCTTAAAGATTTAAAAGAAAGAGAAACTGTCCAGTACAAACAAAGAGCTCTAGCAACACGAGTATGAAATATGTTAGTTAGGTATAACGACACTTGTATGTTTATCTGATGCGCTACCGATAAGGTGGAAGAAAACCACATTTGTAGTCCTCAAAGTAAAGTGAAATATAATTTACCTTACACAGTGCATATCGTCAACTTAATGTATATGCGTCCTATTGAGTAATGTAGTCTCCAATGAAACTGGGACACAACATCCATCGTTTAAAATGACAACGCATTATCAACTGGGTCACCGGTTGTGTAAAGGATGATTATTTGTTTTTACGTAAATAACCATACGAAGGATTGAAAATAGAATGAAATTTTCTCTTGATGTTGATTCTTGAGTGAACTCATGGAACGTAAAATATTTACCTACTCAAATTTTTACTCAGTCTATAATAAAAGAAGTTAAGTGAACCATTTGTCACGAAAATACAGCTGTAAATAAAAGTCAACGATTAGATCATTTTTGATTGGGTTAACATTTAACGGAAAATGTGATGCACTTTACAGATTAATAGCAGAGCTTACATTTTGCATAGTCTTGAGGATAGATTTATGGCTTTTGTCACATCTTTGGGAAACGAGTGATTCTTAGCACCCATTTTGACGTATATATCTAAGTTGTTCCTAGTGAAATGCTCAAACTGTGAGTGGTAACCGGCATGTTTCAAAAATTCTTATATCTAACTGAGTTACTTTGTTCAAGTTAATGTGTTGATATGTTGAATACTGGAGACTGTCAGTAGAGCGAGTGGTATCCAGTTGGTCCATATCGTTGACATCATCATTGATAGGCAATCGATTTCATGCAACAAATTCGCTAAAAGGATTTTGTCAGACTGTCAGTTTTCACTTTACCCTCAGCTCCAACCTTGTGTCTCCTCAGATAAAACAAGAAGTCATTTCAGAAGACTTTATGCACGTACGTCTAAGTATAAAAATTACACTATACCATGTTTGGCACGTATTTTATGAGATGAAAATAGTGTCAGGCATGAACTAACTAACCTTCTTTGTAATGGTAAATCAACCATTTTCCCCAACCTTATCATATCAAGCTTTATTAAATAAAGTATAATTATATTTCAATAGTTTACACACAATGATAAGTTTAGTTATTGGTAATTTTGCTCGAAATATTACCAATAACAAAACTTATCATTGTGTGTAAACTATTGAAATATAATTATACTTTATTTGATCTAGTCCACAATGCTCAAACTTTTTAATAATAATAATTCAAGCTTTATTGTTATTGTTCTTCTTATATTTATAATCCTCGCAATTTTTCCACTATAGATAAGATTTTATTTTGAAAGATCACACAATGTTATAAAATCATATCTATAATGGAATTGTACTCTACCGCAGTGGCCAAGTTTTATACTCGCAATTTATTGTTCCTATTTGTTTATTTTCTCAAAAGTGTAAACCTCATTTAAGTTGTATTATGACTATTAATTCTGTCTTTCCCCTCCCCATACTATATCAACAGAACATTAGATTCAATATTGTATAACATGCTTAAATTTCCTAACTGAATCGACAGTACTATTTGAAACAAACTCACTGTTTAATAACAGTTATAGTTGTTATATTGTATTTTTTTTTATTTATTATTGTACTGCGAAAATTTTTGACTTTACACCGTAAATGTGAACAAATTCCTCTGGTTAATTATGTTTTAATTTTATTTATATTTTGAGTAAATCAGATGCAGTATTGTGACAAATGCTGAGAACTCCATTCTATATTACAAGCACTGTTTCTGTAATAAAGTAGATTATTATTAATAATAGTTTGTACGTTGATAGTTTCATTAAATGTTACACATTTTAATGATTTCCTTAAGATGACTCAATAGAAAAAACAATAAAAATGGACGCGTATCAAACGTTCATTTATTCGAAACTGCTCATAAATGTGTGCCTTATGTTGAATAATATGTGGAAACACTGTTGATCACTTAACTGGTAGTGACTTGCCAGGGGATTCAGGATGTGTCTCATCTTATTTGAGAATCATTAGCTGAATACATCTGGACTCAGGCAAGTTTCTATTTTTCCAGCGATGGTTTGCACAACAGTAAGCTGATCTAAAAAAATTATCCAGCTGTCTGCACTAGTATTCGATATACTGACAAAGACCGAGGACTGAAATCAAACAGTGGAAAATTTTAAGGTTTCATCCTTATTTTTTGTTTGATAATGTTTACTCCACTACCAAATAAACATCTGGCCACGTACCAAGACAAACTACTTTAAAAGAAATAATACATCAAATCTCGGATTAACATTACACTAGTTTTCAGCGGTTGATTAGTTTTTACCACGAAATGATGTGTGTCGTACTTCAAAAAACTGAATCATCAGTAATTTTTTGTTGCACAAGTTTTAGACGCAAGTTATATATTTGCCATTGTTACTTTTACTATTGCTATCATTGTACCAATCGGATAGCACAAAGTACAGTATGAAATACCAAGCGAACATAGGGGGGAAATGCTACAGACATACTTACATATACTGTAACCTATTTAAGGATGAAATAATTAGCTGACCATTTTACGCAAACTGTTTAAGCACATGAAGAATGAGTCTGACTTTAAAAATGTTAAGAGAAGTAATTCATTGAAAAATACTGTGTTGAGGCACTTTGTAAATCTGCATATGTATTCAGTTATATATGTAGGCATCACTATCTGGGTTTAGTATTTACTTGTTCAACGCTCCACTGCACAAAATGTGATCACAGGTAAGATATGAACTCTGTTAAAGAACAATCTACTATGTTACCAATAAAAGTTGGGAGGTAGTATATCTCAGTCTTGTTTATCTTGTTATAGCGACCTTTTTAGTATAACTATAATTCTTTCTAGAAATTAAGTATGTCTGAATATACTCCTGAGAATGCTTGGTGGTTTTTGTAACGCATAAACATTTGAAGCAAAATTTCACTGAAACATACCTAACATCTGAACCACATATAACAACAACCCATTGATAATAATTGTCGAGTAAAGATGGAAAAAGTTGTTCATGTATTAGTAAAATGCAAAGTAAACCGATTACATCGTACTATATGTTGTATTAATCTTCTGAAAATAAAAGGTGAACAATATAGCGTAAATCAAATAAAGCTTATATACAGTAACACACATGTTTTGGCAATGCATATGCGTGTCATTTTTTTCATTTACGGTGAACAAATAACTTATATCACATAATATAAGTAAATAGGAATTAAATAATTGGAATTATGTCAAATCTATCTTGCTGCTTGACTATACTACAGAACCACAGCTTAGTAAACTGACTAATATCAATCTGACTTATATCAGTTTTCTTAATAAATCTAACAGATATGTATCTTTATTTCAGGAAAGAAAAATTTAAAACACATAAAAAACGGATCCAGTTCTTATCTTATCGGCTCTAAAATACTTATTCGCACACTTTTGTCACATTCTAAAATTGTATAAACTGGTTGTGGTACTGTCTGCTTTTGATTACTGCAGAATCTAACATCAGGTACTTCGTAAAAATGATTATATAAAACAGTCGATGTGTCTGGAATGATTTGTGTGGAAGGAAATGTATCAAACCAAAAGTTTTTAGATGAATACTTGAGGAGTAATGGACACTGCTGATACTGATAATTTTGACTTTGACTGTTATTACAACAATAATGGTCATGATGTTTATGGTTACTTGACTGACTATGATAATTAAAATGTGTGGAATTGGAATAGTCATTTTTCATTGTGTATGTCACATTAGAACCGTTTGTTAATGATGCCGCACTCCAGCATAAGCACTTTTTACCATCAGAAATATATTCGGGTGTATAAAACAAGTGACTTTGCAGTTCGTACTCGGTCTCTTGGTGATTTGAGTCGGGTTGTTGTCTCTTTATGGACTTGGATTTATTAAAACAATTTTGAAATTTATTCGTAAATGAACTTGACAACCAAAATCCGCATAGAACAATTTGCATACCAACAAGTGTAAAAAATGCTAAGGTGGCTGGTAAAAGTAAAAATCTGTACTCAGCCCAAGCCCATCTTCCTTTACCATTGCTTCTAAGAGTTCGATATGTTGACGACGACAGATTTTGCTTGTGGCCTTCATTTTGTACTTGACCATAAAGTGCATGGTTGAAGTTGGAAGATGCTAAATAATTTGGAAAGAACAATGGATTTATTAATAATGTTTCTAGTAAGAATTGTGTAGAAATATTTTACGAATCTATGAAAACACAAGGGAATAAAAGATTTTCTACTTCTTATTATTTTAAATTTATTTCAGAATCTTTCCTTAATTAAAAAGATTTCATGTTAAAAATAATTTATCCGAAGGTATCAGAGGAATCGCTTAGGTTTTTACCTGTTGTTTGATAGACAAATAAACATTCCAGTGGTAGACATTCGATTTAAAAAAATTTAATGAATGAAAATGTAAACAGACTCCCGGAGGAGAAGAAATCTTTATTCATTTAGCTCATATTATCCATGGATGACAGATATAAATTCTTAGTAAAAGTACATCATCTGATTAGTTTATTATAAAACCTAATTGTTAGATGTAATAGAGTGGTCAGTATCGTTTATATTCAGGTTTTCGGCATAAATACTTATGTGGATCGTTTGAATTTTAAAAATATCAAGTTTAGCTAGACTATGAGACTATAGTTCATATAATGAACTGTACCAATGTGGAACCGTTACAAGGATATTTACATCAAATGCTTTTATTCGACAGTGAAACGAAAGCTCTTTAGACTGTCTTTCTATAATTTCGATGAAGTTGTTGAGGCAGAAGTTTGACTGTCATTCTATACTATGTTCAGTGAAGATGCGTAGAGTTCTGATTCGATCAGTACATGATTTGCATTTTCTGAATACAGATTCTTCCGGTGAGTGGATTTCTGCATTCAGTGCATATCTTACTCTCCTCGAAATGACGCGAGTAAGTGTCTTGCTTGGTGTGGAAAAGAGCACGATTCCGAGGCAGTTTTAGGAGAGGCCTCAGTCGCCCTTCTTTGGTAGTTTGGCAAGCTAGCCTTTCTTCTAATCAGTAGGTGTCTTTCCTTACTTTCAAACGTTTCGCAATAATGGTGTGGACAAATTTTCCGCAGTCTCTGGGTCAGTTTTCAGTGCTTCGGGGAATTTGTCTGGTACTGTGTTCTTCTCGTACTTGATTGCACTCGAGATTTCAGCTTTTGTTGGAGGATTTGTGTCCACTGGCATTTGTGTGTGCTGTTGATGCTATTTCTGGGCGAGTTTCAGGAGTCGGTCGATTCAAGAGTTCCTTGAAGTGGTCAGCCCTGTTTGGTGGTAATCAGGTTTCCTTGAACATATTTTGTAGGCTTCACCTGCGTTGTCATTTCTCTGGATAGAGACGCTGATATGTGGTACAACTTTTCGAGGTCTCTTCCACCGGCCAGTGTGTCGTAGATTTTCTTTTTTTCCTATCACTCTTCATCACTCCTCTATTCAGTATAGTGTACACTGATCTCAGATTCTCCTTCTTTTGTGCATCTTCGCATCGAGGCATCTTCTCTGTCACCGTCCTCCTCTTTTCTATTATCTTCCAGGTAGATGTCCGTTGAGAGCCATTTCTTGTCCAGTCACTTCCTTCTTCCTAGAAAAATTTTACACGTTTTGTTCAACATCACCCTCAGAAAGTTCCAATGTTCTCCCACACAGGTTGCCTCATTGATGCCACTTAGTGTCTCCGACTTTGCTTTGATGACTGCAAAAGATGTATCTCTTGTAGTTTCGTCCTTAAGTTTCTAACTTTTGGACTTGAATTGTGGTTTGTCTTCAGTTGTTTTGAAGGATTTCAGCATCACATTGAGGGCTCCATGAAAAATTTGACGGTCTCAGAACACATCCGCCGACCTAACTGAGTTTGTGTCTCCACTTCATTGAGATTCAGATGAAATCTACGTGGCTTTCAGTGTGTTCGTCAGGCGAATTCCATGTTATTTTGTGTCCGAAAGTGTCCAAAGGTGCTACCTGATTACTCAGTCTGTATGAGGAGTGAGATTGGATGTTTTAGAAGTGCAGTAGGTTAATATCTGATCAACACTGATTACCACGTCTCCACAAACGCATTTTGGAAATTTATCTATGAGGTAAAATATAACCAGTCATATCATATAGTATTCGTGTCGTCTGTATTGTTAAGCTTTCAGAATCGAAACAGAAAGGACAGAGCGCTGTGTAGAGGTATTTGTTTAACCCTTCCGTTTTTCTTGGTATTGGTCCATAAACGTGATTTTACTATGATCTTTATGTAAACCTTGATCTGATTTACTTCTCGTTTTGTTTCATTAATCTGTAACACTATCTCCCATTATTTATCTTGTTACTATTACTTCCCCCTATAACAGTTTTCAAAATAGTATTATCACCCTTTATTTATTTAATTCAATGTCATTTTTGTGGCTTCTACACGCTATGGAATCAGGCCACAAAATTGATTTTGATAATATTGAAATAATCCAGAAAGCTTCAGGAATTACAAAGAACTTCTAATATCAGAAGCACTTCATATCAAATGGAATCCAAATTGTCTGAACAGGAATGATGGACTACAACAGAATCTGACCTAGTTACAACACCTGCCTCCCCTCCCTCGTGAAGTGACAAAATCAAAACGAATGTGATAAGCAAGTTCACTATGTAAACACACACTACTTTTATAATGTTACACACTGAACAAATCCAACAATCTACACTTGGTTTTGTTATCTTTACCAATTAACCAACTTAACAACGAAAAATGACCCCAGACTGACGAACGATGATCAAGTTAGTAAACTTTGTTTTGATATCATAACAGATGTACTATTACCTTTGATATTTAGTTTAGTTATCTTTATTGTTATTTTGACTTTCAATATGTCCTTTTAACTTGACCTAAGTCTATTTTCTCACCTCTTAACTCTTTGCTATATATATATATATATATATATATATACTGAGATTTTGTAAATTCCGGTTTAATAATACTTTGATAAAGCTATTAGCATTAAATAGCAAAACGTCAGTAGAAACAATATCGTTTTATTTTTCATTCATCGGGAAATAGATCAATCTTTATTATAATGAATCTTTGAAGTAAATTTTAAATAATATTTAGTCAGTGTGTTACCTTTAATTCTTGTTTTTAATTTGATACAAAGAGAAGTTTTGTTGATGAATTATTACATTGATATTATACAGTTGTTTGTGGAGAAGGAACATGCTAATATAGAAGAAGCAATTAAAAGATTTAACATACTTCCAGCTGCTAAAAACATGTATTTATATATATAAAACACTAATTTCCAGGTGACCACATAAGACGTGATACTATTGTGCCAACAGTAGACAAGGGCCAGGCAACAGATCCTTCATTATACAAATCAACGCATATTTTTAGATTTTCATGTACATTTTATAGATTATTGTTAGCAGAAAAACACAGTCCTCTGGTTAGTTGTTTCTCACAGAAAGTTAATCTTGCATCTGTTTGCGTCTGTTTCTTGAATGTCACATCATCTATATGTTAACTGTATCCGCCTATGCAAAGCCTTTCTTCTCATTTATCTCTCGACCAATATTGGGGACAAAAACACCAAGAAATACGTCAATGTATTATACCCATAACCAAACAGAAAAGACATAATTCCCAGCTTAGCACTCAAGAGCAAAATGCATTGAAGAAACCGAAGAATAGAAAAGAAATATTTTTTCTGCCGGTTGACAAAGGAAGAACAATAGTAATCATGGACACAGAAGACTACATAAAGAAAACAGATGATTTACTCAAAGATAGTCACGTGCATCAACAGCTGACGAGAAACCCTATACAAACATTAGATAACAAAATCAAAATAACAATAAATAAACTAGCGAAATCAGGCCAAATTAGAGAACAAGATCAATGGCAAATGAAATCTAACGGACCTATTTTACCTCGATTTTATGATAGAGCAAAACTACACAAAAAACAATCCCTCACGACCAATCGTTTCGCTGCCAGGAATACCAATATTTATCATCTCTAAGATCTTTTCAGGAAATTAAAATGTCTAACAAAATCATGTGACCATTCTATCAATTCCTCAATCCAATTTTTAGAGAAAATCAAAACATTCAAGTGGATGACAATGAAATAATGGTGTCCCTTGATATCGAGAAAGCTCAAAATCCAAGTCAATAAAAATGATCAATATAGATGTAAATTGACTATCAGTCACGAAGATGGTTGCCAGGAGATACAATTCTAAAGTTCATGGGGAATTTAAATCAGTTCATTGACGCTAAAACTTGCGCTGAAGATGTTGTCCATAAGGACGACAAGAGTTCTGCAATTAAACCAACCAACTCAGAGAACACAACTAATTAAAAGTAATGATATTGTATAAAAAGATGAGGTAACACTCGAATGAGTTCAATTTTGATGTATGTCAAAGAGATTTTTAAGTGCATTGAGATGACACTTTCGGAGTTAGTCTGATATTTTTGGTGAAAAGGTGTGTCGAGCTTATTAAGTATACCGATTTTCACATTGATAAATCGTAAAGTAAATGGTTGTAACACATTTTAGATTCCAACTAATTGTCTGCATAGCGACTGAAAGTCAGTGGTTCTTGAACTTTCACACAGAAGTTGTTTGCAGGAATATATGAATATTACAACAGTGACAATATTTTCATGTCAATCATGCTGTAACGCATCATATGTTAATAAAAGGCATCAAATACGTGCATACGCAGGTATAATTACTTTGCAATACATATTCAATGAGCATTTAAATTAGTACTCACAGATGTTTTATTTATTAAACATGAAACCATGAAGAAATGTATGGGCGAACTAACAGTAAAGACTTCGAAGGAAAGGAGTTGTTTCAAGGTTCTTATAGTTATAAAATTAGAGACGTCGTAGTGTTGACAATGTGTTTTCCATGATGAAGTGCTGCTTTTTTCAGATCTAAAGAAGCATAACTTGTTTCTGGGTTGAAGAGGACGCTTGCTAGTTAATGGATGTCGGTATTTAGAGTAGGTTCCAAAAAGCAGACATCATGTTTTTTATAGTATTGTTATGTACCCGTCGCTAAATTATTGTTATGGTCTGGTCGAGAATTTAATAGTCCTGACGCAAGAAGGCGGAAATCAG